TACAATAATTTGTATGAAATCTAAAAAGTTGGAATATACTAACTTGAATTTAAATTAGTATAAACTAAAATATTTAATATATAACAAAATGTTAGTTTGAAAATTTTTTAGAATTTTTAATAAACAAACGAAATATTTTTAGAAAATAATGGACCAAAATTAGATAAAATAACATTAAAATAAAAAATTAAAGTATTTATACATTTCTTAATCAAATATAAAATTCTTTAAGAGGTACGAAACAATGCAATTTAAATACATTTATAGATTAAATGATTAAATTCTTTAAGAGGTACGAAACAATGCAATTTAAATACATTCATAGATTAAATGATTAAATTAGTAAAGTACCTATATTTTAATGAAGTTTGTATATATACATCTTAATTTTTTTCTTTTTTTGTTTATTATTGTTATTATTATACTAATATTGTTTTTTCTCATTTATTTATGTTATTGTAAAATTAAGTTAAATAGAAAATATTCGTGCATTTGCACAAGGTATCAAACTAGTATATATATATATTTATTTATTTATTAATGTTCGGTTCGATTCGGATTAAATCGATCAAAAATTGGTTTAATCCATGAACCGAACCGAATTTTCGATTCTCAGAAATTCCAATTCAACCAAAACCGAAAAATTTCCTAACCCAACCCAACCCTTTCAATTTGGGTTGGGTTGGTCGGGTTATTGGGTTTTTTGAACTATGATTTTTTTTCATACTATTTCCTTTTTTTCAGTGCATTAGTGAACATGATCTCTTGTACTTTTGTTCCTTGCAATTATAGAAAATGTAGGAAATTATGATTAAGAAATAATAAATGACTTTGACATTTAAAATTAACAGATCAAAATGTCGTAAAATGATTTTGAGAAAAAATCTACCTCTTCATCGACAAAAATAAACTTCAGAATGTTGAGATTCTTATCTTCACAAGATTTGAATGTTTCCTTTGCAAAAAATATTCACTTTTATTCTCCATGTTTTGTTGAATGGTTTCAACTCTTTGATAGAACAATATGACGATGATACAGACATTTTTTTAATTTCGTAGATTTTCTGAATTTGAGATAACGTTGTTAAATTTTCCATCTCATTCTTCTTTAAATATGAAAATTTTACAAACTTCCATATGAACTACTATTAATTTTTCCATAGTCAGTTTAATTTTCAAAATCTGTTGAATTTCTTTAATCTGTTTTAATAATAAAAGTGTATTAATTTCCCTCTATTAAACCCTTTAATATCTAAAACGTACATAATCTTTTTTTTTAAATGTTCACAATCYACTTTTGTTCTCTAATTAAAAAAAATTGTGGTCCACGTCACTTGACTTTCAAAAATTCATTATTAAATTATTAAAATAAATAAAAAGTAAAAATCTCAATCAAATCTATTTTCCAAAATCCGACAAATTTCTTTAATCAGTCATAATTTAGAAAATGGTATTAAGTTGAAGGCAAAATGTTGGAATATGAAGCGATATTTAATTTAAGCATTTATTTCCACCCCTATTCATTTCTTTATTATTTAATCTCACCTTAATTAATTACGAAATAGTTATATATGCATGTAGTTATATCAATTTTTTTTATAAATAATTATAACAAATTTAATCAGCTACATGTTAAAGGATCAATCTACCTCCAAATTAATATTCAAAAGGGTTAAAAATGAAGGGCAGAAACGATAAAAAAGTTTGTTCGAATCCTGACTTTTATATATACTATAGATGATAATTATTATTATTATTATTATTTTGGCTTAGAATAAATTTTGAGTGTTTAACGATAGGCAATTGGATGTATGTAAAAATAGATGAAGGACAGAGATTGAATGGACAATAAGGAAAGAGAACCCACGCACGAGATGACGAGTACAAAAAGACCCCAAACTCGTGCCTACGCACACGGGTGGCAGATGAAATCCTCTTTTTTTTTCAAAATAGCACCATGTGTCGCATTAATTATTATTGGTTTGAAGTCACTATCTCAGCAAATACTCGTGCTGAGTCAATGTTGCTTTAGCCGAAGTCGCTACGTATCGAATCCACATTGCCACGTCAGCAAATCGTCCACTATGTCAACAAAATTTGGTCGATGACAATCATCGAGTATCACGTCATTTGACATGTCAACAATAATGTGACCGTTGGAGTGCCATGTCATCATTGATGCCACGTGTTGGCCTTTGGTATGAACAATAATATACCACGCTAGCATTCTCAAAACATAATTCAAAATCGGTAGACGTGAATAAATCAAAACTTTCATTATCAAAATGAGACCGTACAGAATGGAAGATGAGATATTCTCGCTACCAAAAAAAAAGTCAGACAAATATTTGAGTTATATCATAATATTACAAAAAGTTTTAGTAATTGAGGACCACAAAGACCAAAAAAAAATTAACAAGTTCCAAAAAGACATGTATAACTCTTCTCCATGAAAGATCCCTTTTGCTTCTTTCGAACCACAACTTCCTTAACAACTCCGCCATCCCCATTGGACTAGAGGATATTCGCTTTGCCTAAAGTTCGTCCCTATTGGGGAAACACGACCTAATCTTGAAAATACTAAAAAACTCATCCTAAACAAGGTGCATTGGGTCTTCCCTATCATCTTTACAAAGTACACACCACTCTTACTTTTGGCAACTATTGAGCCCATCGTGTGTAACATTCCACAACAAAACCTTTAACCTTCTTGATATTTCCAGCTGCCAAATCAATTTGTCATTAAATCGAGAAAAATATTAGCTTTTACCAGCTTTGGAAACCAGAAATCCTTGTGAATTTGTCACTCTTAAGAACCTAGCAAATGCCCACGAAAAGTTTGATCATTTACCGTCCGTTTGATAACCATTTTTGGTTTTTGGTTTTTGGTTTAACTGTTTTTAAAACTAGTGTGCGATGAGAGTGAAGATATACTCTCCCATTCTCATGCTCATGAAATTTTTTAGTCTACCATATTCTCTATGTTGTTCCTTAGTTCGGGAATCGAGAACCAGATTAAAGAATCCTTATTTGGGGATGGAGATATTCGCTGGAAAAATTACCAATTTTGTAATTAATTTTAGTTATTCTTAGAATTAAAAAAAGTGTAATAAATATATGTTAATTATTTTTAGAATTATTATTTACTATTATAAATAATTAGTTTTTAAAAAATTTAATATTTTATTCACAATTTAGTAAATATGTTAATAAAAAATATATTAATTATTAAAAAAATGGAATCGGGGACGGATTTGGAACATGCATTTCATATTATTGGAGCAGGGGCTGACCCTATGAAAATTTTTGTCATGTGGAGACACGAAAATACAAGATTAGACCGATGGAAATAAACTTTTTAAAGAAAAATTTTGGAGAGATAAACAAACAAATTTAGAAAAAGAAAATTAGTGAAAAAAATTTTAAAGACAATAAGTGACAAATTTTGGAGGAGAAAAGTAAAGTTGTGAGGAAAAGATAGCGGAAAAAAAAATTTAAGATAAAAACAAGAATCAAAATACACTTTAGAGAAAATAAATAAATAAAAAGATAAATAAAAGTTATAAGGAAAGAAAATTAAAATATGATTTTAAGAGGAAAATAGATTACGAAGAAAAATAAAAATTTTAGAAAACGAAATCGTAGGGAGAGAAAACTTAAGAAAATATTAAATTTTTTAGAGAGAGAAATGAGGGTGATTTGTTAAGAAAAAAATAATAATAAAAATACATAAAGATTCAAATTTTAGACAGAGATAAATAATAATAAATATTTAAAATATAAAAATTTTAGGGGGAGAAAAATAAATTTTATTGAGGGAAATTTAAGAAGAAAAAAATTTTAGAGTGAGAGAAATTTGGTAGAGATAAAATATGAGAGAAAAAAAAATTTGAGAAAGAGGAGTGTGTTTTCTAAATTTTTTTTTTTTTTGAAATTTACGTAGAACTTCAAAATCATTTTTGAAAAACAAAAAACCAAGAATTGAATCAGTAACAACCCAGAAAACCAAAAACCAAAAATAAAAAAGAGAAAATAAAATGATTATCAAACGGACCCTCAGTAGGATATTAAATATCTATTGACATGTCTACATTTCCATCCATATTTTCATGTATTTCAAGTTTGACATCAAAATGAAAGATAGATCAACATTTCTATAGTATAGTATTGTATAAAAAAAATCAACAAAATGTCATTAATATAAACATAATATTAATATTAATCACTTTTTACTTATTTAAGAGTGAAATACTTATTTGTTAATTTAAATATCTTTTTACGAATTTTTTATTTTTATAGTCTTTGCAGAAAATGCATTGACATTATTCTTTTACCTATTATTTTCATAAAATAAAATTGAGACTTCGATATTTTCATCACCATATCCTAATTAGGTTTCTATAGTATTTGTCTAGTCTACTCCATTTCCAAGACATTTATTTTAACCCCGTACTTTCGATTTTTGTCTACAAAATCTTTATGTTTTCAAAAACTTTGACCACTACGATCATTGTTTGAAAAATACTAACACAATTTCTACGACAAAATAACGACAATATTTCAAAAAAGAATCTGATAAACAAGGGCCTAAAATATTCATTTTCTTAAAAGTGCAAGAAGTAAACCCAATGTCTTCAAATTATAAAGACCAAGATGAACAAAAACTGAGAGCGTAGAGACTCGATGCACCAAAGTCGAAAGTCGAAAGTACCCGAACCGGACTTAAACCTTTGCATTTTAACTATATAGGACAAAATTATCCCTAAAACGAAAAGAGTCAGTGCCGGCAAGAAGCCAAAACAAAGAAAGAAAACATGAAATAACAAGACATCCTGCGGATAGATCAGCATCATTTTTCAATCCCAAATACACACTGATACAGGACAAGCATAAAGAATTAAAAAGTAGAGTAATTTCAGAACCAGAATCATAATCAAGTCGTCAAAGTTTTTACAGCATAACAAAGTTACAACCACCAACATAACTTAAAGCAAACAAATACGTACAAGAAACATAATTATGATACATAGACTGACCCCGTCCCCCTCCTTATCCCCCCACCATCGCCTATAAATCTACCAACAGAAAACGACAGAAGAAAAAATCATCAAATTTCTCAAAAGTCAGCCAAAACTAAAAGAAACAGACAGACAACACACCGAATTATCTTCCAGGACCACCACAACAGTTTGTATGAAGGGACAGAATCCAGTTTTATCCAACCATGTTACATGTCTTCCCTCAATGGGGACCTTTCCAGCCAGGCCAGCATTTGTTTTGTGTTTTATCACATGCAAACCAACCACCACCCATACTTTTTCTTTGCAAGTACTTCACCAAAAAGTATCAATTTATTTTTCCCCCTCTCATTACTCTCTGTGATCGCACCACTTCTTGACTATTTCCTTTCAAGATTCAAGTTTTGTTACGTCTCTGCTAGATCTATTGTATTTCATGTGACTTTTGACCAGTTGCCCAGCTGCTATAGCAGACATGAGAGATAGCTCACCTGCAAGAACAGAGCCAGCCACGATGGTGGCTAAAAGCCTTGAGTTCGATCCCGGAGACTCTTTGCTAGCACCTTTCACCCCAAGAAGATTCAAGCATGCGGATTGAGATGCAAGTTGGGTTCCACCGCCAACGGTACCAACCTAAAGAAAATAAACAAGAAAAGTAAAATGAGTTAAGTTTGGGATGTAATGGATATGTGAAAACACCGAATACAATGTATATAGTAACCTCAATGGAAGGCATTGTGACAGAGATGTGCAAATCTCTTCCGTTGTTTGCAGGTTCCATCATTGTGATGCATTGAGAACTCTCAACATTTTGTGCTGGATCTTGGCCAGTTGCTAAGAAAATTGCAGACACAATATTGCTGGAATGAGCATTAAATCCGCCAAGAGCGCCAGCCATTGCTGATCCAGCTAGATTCTTAAGCATGTTGAGCTCCACTAGACTTGCAACGCTGGTTTTCAACACCTTCCTGACCACCTCATCCTTTATTACTGCCTCACAAACCACAGACTTTCCTCGTCCTTCGATCCAATTTACAGCAGCAGGTTTCTTGTCAGCACAGAAGTTTCCTGCCAAATGAAGAGGCCTGTCACTTAGAATGAAGTATATACACTGCCTCATCAAATTTTATTTCTCACAATCAGAACCAGTGAAAAATGGTAGGAAATTCATGTTCCAACAGAAAACTGACTCACAAAAGTAGAGATTAAGGGAGATAATAGGGTTAACAAAAATAGTAGTTGACATCATGCCTGAAGCAAATACATACGAAAATAATATAGGACAATAAGATAATCAAATTATTCCCAAAGCTATAGCAAGCAGCCCATCAGATGAAAGATGGTATAGAAATTAGAAGCTAGTAAGAACCAATCCATGGCCTAACCATTACCTTTTTTTTTTAATGTCTCCATAGCCCAACATAATAAAGAATAAGTAAATTGGAAATGGCTTAAAAACAATCCTCATTCCTTAAGATTACTTGAGAGGAAGAATCAGCTTGTAATAACTAATACTTCCAAGGCAAGTAGGACCGTATGCACATTTCTTTACTTTAAGATATAAGTTAGTTTATAACTACAATTATACATGAGAGTGAGAGAGAGAAAGAGAGAGGTTGTGAAACTTTTCTTAGCTTGAAGGTGTAGGCAAGTTAGACTGAATCTACAATTATAAATGTGTGTGACTGTGATGTAAGGACAGAGAGATGAGGAGGGAAAACTATTTTATTTGCTTCATCCATCATTCAATTCACAAATCTGACATTTGAGTTTATGAGTTGAGTTTATATCTATAATCGCATTCTTACAGTTCGACTTCTTATATCTGTAAGCACATTCTTATATTTCACATTAAAGAGTGTCTTAAATTTCAGTTCAGCTTTTAGTCTTTCTACTATCAAATCACTTCAAAACGAGATAATTTGATTTAATTACCCAAGATAACGTATTTAATATATCAATGGAGTTTTCTATAATCAACCATCCCCTTGCAAGTAAAAAGAAAACGAAAAAAGGGGTAATGTCAAATGAAAGGTAAAACTCATTACAGATAAACTAAAATGAGACAAATCTCGAAATTGAAAGGTCAATATATTCGTGAAGTTGACAGTCTATCAAGAAGGGGACCAGGGAGCACTAAAAAAGGGAGAAGTACGAAACGAGGAGAAAAGTGAAGTACCAACCAGAGATACCAATGACTTCCATGTCTGAGAAATCATGTTGAAGAAAATCAAGCACATTCTGAACCCCCTTAGACACCATATTCATCCCCATGGCATCGCCTGTGCTGCAACAAAATCTTATGTAAAGATTCTTCCCAGCAATAGAGCAGCGAATACTTTGGAGCCGAGCAAATCTACTAGACCTGCAAAACAGGAAACGAATACAAATGGGCTATATCATATCTTGATAGGACAACTTTTAGCCACTCTGAAACCTCTATTTTCTTTTCAGATTTCTGTAATACATTGATCTTTCCGTTCATCCAAAAATAATAACAAATACAGGATTCAAATTCGAGCCAAACGAAGAAAGCGGCAATTGATAAAATCATGACAAATTTTACCTATTGAAAACGACGGCCAAGGTATCGAAATGGTGTGGATCTTCCAAGAAAAACTTCAACTCCGATGCCCTTTTTGCGCTGCCAAACCTTACAACCGGCGCTCTGGTCATCCCATCCTTCAGCAACATGCTGGAAGCTCCACCAGACGCATAGATCGCTTTGCAGCCTCTGTTGGTACTCGCCACCAAGCAACCCTCCGTCGTCGCCATCGGCACCGAGTACTCGAATCCATCGAGCAGCAAAGGACCCGCGATTCCCACCGGAATCTGCACATATCCAACCGGCATTTCGCAGCACTGCCCTAGAATAGACTCATAATCAAATCCTTCAAAAGGCAGCCCATAGATGGACCTTCCCGTCATCCTCTGGAGTGCCTCACGGCGAATGGAGGCCGCCCTCTTAGGATCCCCAAGTTTCGATTCCAGAGAATACGACGGGATAGAACCATCGACAACCATCTTAACAATTTCCTCGTCCTCTTCCGGCAGAGGCGCTAAATCCAACGGCTCGGCGACGGCCAATTTGGGCGGCAAAGTGATGGCAGAGGCACAAGGAGGAGGAGGAGCATATCGATTGTTGTCAATGAGAAGCGTCTGATCAATTTCGTCGTCGAGATCCCACGCATCGTGAGAGGAACGCGCTATGAAAGATTGCACAAAGTCGATGCCGAAGAAGCCAAGTAGATAGATGAAGGAAGCCATGAGAGAAACAATGGCGGCGATCTCGGAGAGCGTGACGACGTGAAGAGGCGTAGAGTTTCGGATCTTATCGCGCCATCGATGGAGAAGATAATAAGCGACGGAGAAGAACAGAGTGAAGAAGATTGTGTTGGTGAGATACAGAGGAAGCGGGAGGGCATCGGAAGCTTTCGGCGACGGCGATGGCGATGGCGGTGGGGCTTTCGAGCGTTGATGGGCGTTTTGTTGGTTTCGATTGAACGTACGAGTAGCGCCGCCATGCACGGCGGTGGGACGCGGTGGTCGGAGGGGACGCCGCCGATCCATTGGGCACTCTTACTCCGGCGAGAAAAGAGAATAATAATGGACGAAGAGAAGAGTCTCGGCCGGTGATTTGGCTGGAAGGCAGACAGAAATATTGGGAGGGAGAGAATTTTAAAGCCTTTTTTTTGCATTAAAAAAATTAACCTTTTTTTATATTTTATTTTTATCACAAAAAATTAACCCTTTTTCAAAGGAAGGTTTTTTCTACCCAAAAATAAAAATATAAAACCTGAAGAGGAAAAGAATAAATCTCTCCTCAGACTGATTCTGAACCCATGTCAGATATTTCTCTTCCAGCAAGGAATGTTCCATCTTCTTATGATCTTTCTAATACGTGTAAGTGGTTTATGACATCACCTAAGTCTTAGATACAAGCCTTCTACTCTTGTTCAACTCAATCGACGAAGTTCGATTATAAGAATATACAGCATAAATCGCTTCTGGCACAAGAAGCCAAACATTCTGGTCGAGACGTTCTGGTGCAAGGAGTCAAACATTCTACCAGACGTCTCAGCTTTGGAGCCTCAAGAAAAAAAGATTTCATTATTGTCTCTCACAAGTCACAATCCAGCCCAAACGACCTTTCCTATACTCCCAATGAGATCGAAAGCATTGCATTGAGAGTAGGGGCAATTGTTATGCAACGAGAATCGACGATAGTCGAGCTACAGGTCGCGATCGGAGGGGAGCCCGCTGGGCCACGAAGGGCTCGGTCCCGACCCCTGCTCGGCCCACGGCTCAGCCAACAAGTCTCCCGTCTGTGATCAACGATTTCACCCAGGCCCTGCAACTGTGAATTAGAGTTAGCTACGGAAGGTTCTGGAACTACTTCACGGCTATAAGTAGCAGTCCAACCCTAGAGGTAAGGGCATCTGAAGTTGACCACTTTCACATTATTCTCTTGCTAACTTAGACATCGGAGCCCGTGTGACTAGAGTCACATCGGTTTAGTTCGATTTGGTTTTGCAGGTATTAGTCCCGAATAATCAAGTTTGGTGTGTGCGAGGAGAAGAATCGGAGGATCGAAATCCACGCATCAACAATTGGCGCCGTATGTGGAGACGATTTAAAGCATCCAGTCGAGCAACATGACACCAGAAAGGATTCCACGACGCTCTGATGATAACTGCTCTGCCAAGAGGAGGTTGAACTTGGACGACCCCCAGGTCGTTGGATCCAAGGATGGGACCAGCCAGTTAAACCCGGAACGTCAGGAGGGGTTGCCCAAGGCACATGCAATAACGACCCCTGAGCCACTCCAAAAGCAGTTCGCGGTCTTGGAAGACAAGGTAGAGGGCATGCTGCAACGAATGACCTAAGTCCTTCGACAATTCGAGCAATAAGAGCCCGATGAGGTACCCCTTGTCAGAGACCCGAGGAAAGGGAAGGGCTCAACACAAAGCGAGGCTGAGGAATCAACAAACAGTGCAGGGAGCAAGTTGCGGATAGGTGGAAACACCAGGCGACGAATCCGGATCTTCGACTCCCAGAAGATCAAAAAGCAACATAAATCCTCGATACCAAATGGTGCCAAGAACAACCAGGATAACCGAAACTCTGAGCCAATAGACCTCGACAAAGGCAAACCGACGGATCAGCCAGAGTTGTCAGAGAAGCGACAAAACCAAAAGGAGAAGTAATTCGACCTCGAAGAACTACTGGATCAAGCTGACTCACCATTCACGAAGGAGATCATGAAAGAGAAGGTCCCTCCAAAATTCAAACTACCCACGGTGAAACAGTTCGACGGGACGACCGACCTAGTGGACCATCTAGATGCTTATTGGGAATGGATGAATATCTACGGAGTGTCAGAGGCGGTCAGGTGCCGGGTGTTCTCGACTACATTAAACGAGTCAGCCAGAATATGGTTCCAACAATTAAAACGAGGGTCAATCTCGAGTTTCAAAAGTCTGACTAGAGCATTCGTGACCCAGTTTGTAGTGGGACGGTGTTGGAGCCGACCCGTGGCTTATCTTTTAACTATTAAACAAAGAATGGCAGAGAGTCTACACGACTATGTAGCTTGGTTCAACGAGGAAAAGCTGCAGGTGGAAGGCCTTACAGACGCTGTATCTCTGCTGGCCTTCATGTCCGGCGTCAAGGATGAGCATTTGTCATTTTCGTTCGGAAAGAAGACACCGAGTACTTTCTCAGAGGCACTGAGTCGAGCTCAGAGGTACATGAGCGTTGGTGAATTCTTTTACTCAAAAAGGGAGCCAGACGGAAAGCGATCCGACCAAAAGGGGGAGAGGTCGGGAGACAAGCCACAAGGGTCGAGATGGGAGAAGAGAGATCGGAGTAGCCAGAAAGATCCACCCCGAAAATTCGAAAAGTATACACTGACCACCGTTCCATTCGGGCAAGTACTAATGAGATCAAAGACCAAAAGTTACTTAAATGGCCAGAGAGGATGAAGGCACCGTCAACTAAACGAAGTAAAGGCCGATATTGGCTTTTCCACCGGGATCACGGCCATGCAACTCAGGATTGTTTTGACCTCAAGGAAGAAGTGGAAGGGCTCATCCGAAGGGGCTACCTCAAAGAGTACGTAGAGGATCCTAAAGTGACACAAAACGGCGAGAACGACAAGTCACCTGCTCGAGAGATTCAAACTATAATGGGAGGCCCAATAGAAAGTGAATCCGGGAGAAAAATAAAGGTAGATGTGCGAGAAGCTAGGACGAACCTCGGACACAATGAGGTCTACTATACGTATATTGCAGACCGGTCTGCGACGATTGAGTTTTCAAAGGACGAGGCAACTCACCTCCTCCACCCTCATAACGATGCGCTAGTTATCACTCTGAAGATAGCAAACGTGAAAGTACATCGAATTTTGGTGGATGGGGGCAACTCAGCAGATATTATCTCCTGGACAGCCTACAAAGTCATGGATGTAGGAGAAAAGGTGCTTAAGAGCAACCCAACACCGTTGGTCATTCTCGAGGGGAGGATAGAGTCGCCTGTAACGTTCGGAAGTGGACCGAAAAGTGTCACCAAGATGGTGGAATTTTTGGTCGTTGACTACAAATCCTCCTACAACGCAATATTGGGAAGACTGACAATGCATATGCTCAAAGCGATACCATCCACATACCACCAGTCCATGAAGTTCCCAACACCGGGTGGAGTAGGAGAGATTAAGGGAGAGCAACGAGTGTCGCGGGAGTGCTACTATACCTCAATGAAGGGCAACGACAGGACTTCTACTAAGGGGGGCCGTTGATCTTTACTTTTTTCCTTTCAAGTGTGGTTGTTTTTGTTTTTCTACTTTTAGCAAGATTTCTAATTTTTGTTTCTTTTATTCAATAAAGTATCCATTTGCTTGGTTCCCTATCAACTATGTCTTCTAAATCCAAAACGGGATGCCAAGCGACTTTGATAAAACACCTTGCCTCGTCTACAAGCGTACTCTCAAAAGATATCGACAATACACTACCTTGAGAGTAGGGGGCAATAGGTACCGACTACTCGGCGACGCAAGCCGGGTAAAACAAACTCTACTCGGCGACGCAACCAACTCGAGCCGACCAGGGCTCGGGTCCGACCACTGCTCCGGTCCGACCACCGCTCGACGCCGACCAGGTGCAATGGGACACAAATCTACATTAGTCGACAATTTTGAACTATGAGATAACCATTTGGTAGCTTATTTTTATCAATGGGTCTTATTTTCAACCAAGCAGGGCTCGG